TATTTTATTGTGGGTCTATTTGTTCATTATTTATTTATTTATTTATTAGTTTGACCAGAGAGAGAGAGAGAGAGAGAGAGAGAGAGAGAGCGCAAGCGAGAGAGAGGGAAAGTGAGAAAGCAAGCTGCCAGGTCCAGGATTCGAACCAGGAGAGGCCATGTGGGAGTCCAGCACTTCAGCCATCTCATCACCTGCTGGTCCTTGTTTCCTTTTTCTCAGGACAAGCAGGACAGCTGGTCTCACTAGATAGGAGGACCGTCAAATGCAAAGTTTGAACTCAGAGGCACATGGAGTGTATGTTCTTGTTTTTCTTTTTTCTTTTAAATTTTGAATTTGCTATAAAGCATGCACATTTGCCGAAGAGAGGGAGAGGGAATAAGAGAAAGAAGGTAAGGAAGCACCTGTCTAGAGGGGATGGATATGCCGCAGTCTCATCTCCATCCTCTTTGGATTTTGGATGTGGACACATGTGCACCTGGCATGTTTCTCAAGCTGCCAGGTCTGGGACTTGAACCACAAAGTCAGCCAAGTGGGATCCAATTGTTTTAACTACCATGCCAGTGGCTAGGCCAAACTTTGAGAATATTTAAAAAAATGTATTTATTATTATTGGAGCTGGCAGGTGGCGTGGTGGTTAAGACAGCTGGACTCCCACATGGTTGACCATGGTTCAAATCCCAGACCTGGCAGCTTACTTTCTCATTTTCTTTCTCTTTCTCTATCTCTTTCTGGTCAACTTCAATAAAATAAAAAAAAATGATGACAATGAATACAATGAAATAATTCTTTAAGAAAATGTATTTATTATTATTTAAAGTTTGACCAGAGAGAGACAGGGGGTGGGGGAGTGATAAAGCAAGCCACCAGATACAGGACTCAAACCGTGGTCAGCTATGTGGGAGTTCAGAGCCTTAATCACCAGGCTACCTGCTGGCCCCAGGACTATTTCTAATTCCATCCCTTAATAAGAGAATGTAGTTGATAGCAACTGATTTTTTTTTTCTATTGAGAAAACAAAGGGAGACAACACACAGTAAAACCAAACAACTAGAACAGATATTCTTCACATATCCCACAACGGAAATTTTCACTTGTGCCATGAGAGAGAGAGGCAGAAGAAATTCTGGCCCAGCCCAGTGGCCTTGTAGATAAGGGAGTCAGATCCCACACGACTAACTATAGTTTGAATCGGAGTCTTGGTGGCTTGAGAACCACGCCAGGTGTGTGCACATGCCCTAAAACCTAGCAGGATGGAGAAATGGGGAAAAGAGTTTGTGAGTGACCATACCCCATTGAGAGGTTCTCTCTCTCTCTCTTCTCTCTGTCTCTTTCTCGCTCTCTGGTGAGCTCCCATGCTCTATGGCAAATGAAACAAAACAAAACCAAACAAACAAAAAAACCCCAACGTTGAGAGAGTCCTAAGATGCCTGGGTTTGTCACAACTGAGACATATCGCAGAAGGTGTACCATCCTCATATTCGAAAACTTATTTGCTTGAATCCAAAATACAGACAAGGGACTGGATACTTGGATTCTAGTTTCTTTTTCTTTTCTTTTCTTTTTTTTTTTTTTTAAAAACAAAACAAAACAAAACAAAACCTTTAAATACATTCTAACTAATGCTTTTTTTAAGAATTATTTGTTTAATTTTATTAATTCATTTATTTATTTTTAAAATTGGACCACACACACACACACACACACACGAGAGAGAGAGAGAGAGAGAGAGAGAGAGAGGGAAAAAGAAAGATGGGACTCAAACCATGGTTGGCCATGTGGGAGTATCCAGTGCCTTAACCACCATGCCACCTGCTGGTCTCTTGGTTTCCCTTTTTCCCAAAAAAAACACCCCCCTTTTTTATTCCCCCCCCCCCCAATTTGCTCTAGCTACAAAGAACCACAAAATCTGACCCGCGTCTCGGAATTCCTCCTGATGGGCCTCTCAGAGGATCCAGAGCTGCAGCCTGTCCTATTTGGGCTGTTCCTGTCCATGTACCTGGTCACTGTGCTTGGGAACCTGCTCATCGTCCTGGCCATTGGCTCTGACTCCCACCTGCACACCCCCATGTACTTCTTCCTCTCCAATCTGTCCTTGGCTGACATCGGGTTCACCTCTACCACCATCCCCAAGATGATTGTGGACATCCAGTCTGGCAGCAGGGCCATCTCCTACGCAGGCTGCCTGGCGCAAACGTCTTTTTTGATCCTTTTTGGGTGCATGGACGGCATGCTTCTGACGGCGATGGCTTATGACTGGTTCGTGGCCATCTGTCACCCCCTACACTACCAGGTCATCATGCACCCACACCTCTGTGGCTTGCTGGTTTTCCTCTCATTTCTCCTCAGCCTTTTGGTCTCCCAGCTACACAACTGGGTGGTGTTACAAGTCACCTACTTTAAGGAGGTAGAAATTTCTCACTTCTTCTGTGACCCGTCTCAGCTCCTCAACCTTGCCTGTTCTGACGCCGTCACAAACGACATCATCCTGTACATGGTCGGGGCCCTCTCTGGGTTTCTCCCTATGTTGGGGATCTTTTTCTCTTACTATAAAATTGTCTCTTCCATTCTGAGAACCCCATCAACAGGTGGGAAATACAAAGCCTTTTCCACCTGCGCTTCTCACCTGTCGGTTGTTTGCTTATTTTATGGAACAGGGCTTGGGGTGTACCTCAGTTCAGTTTTCTCACTGTCTCCCCGAAAGGGTGCCGTGGCCTCGGTGGTGTACACGGTGGTCACCCCCATGCTGAACCCCTTCATCTACAGCCTGAGGAATAGGGACATCAAGAGGGCTATGTGGAAGCTCTTGCACAAGACAACCTTTGCTATCCATTGGGAGTACGGGTTGGAAAAGGCAAAAGTGGGTACGTAGACCTGCAAGGGTTATCTCTCTCCTGAGAACATTTGCTATCTCTCATGGGTTTTGTTCTCTTCCATATTTCATACTGGAATATCGTTTCTTTTGGTCTGCCTTGAATGAGACTGGGAGGACTGGGGGAGTATTTTTGTGAATCTCTGAACACCATTTTTAAAATTAGAATTATTAATTAAAAAATTTTGAGAAATTTTTGCTATAGGGTGCACGTGTACTCACTGGAGAGACAGAGAGATTGAAAGTGAGACATCATCCCTCGGGGGTTGAACACACCACAATCCTTTCTTCTTCATTCTCCTCTCGGGATCTTGGGCACGGAAGCATGAGTCTTATATTGTTAGGTCTGGTACGTGAACCATACCATGTAGATGAGAGTCCAGTGATGTAATTGTTATGCCATCTGCTGGTCCCACACCCACATTCTTTCTTTTCTTTTTTTTTTTTTAGAGAGATTTTTGCAATAGGGCATGTGTGCTTGCTGGAGAGACAGAGAGATGGAAAGCAAAATATCACCCCCACCCCGTGGGGTGGGGAGATGGCCATTCTGCAATTCCTTCTTATTCAGTCTCCTCTCAGGACTTCAGGCCCACACGTACACACGCCCAACATGAGTTTTAAACTGCTGGATCCAAGACTTGAACTGTGGTTGACTACGTGGGAATCCAGCGATGTAACCATTACGCGCCATCTGCTGGGCTTTTACCCCATCAATTCTAATAAAGTTTCTTCAGCTATCCTCTTTCTCTACACTCTTTTGGGGGTGCCTCTCTGTCTCTCTGAAGAAACATATGAACACACTTTAAAAATAAATTCTCTCAATGACATCCACCTCCTGGTTTCCATGCCCGAGTGTCACCCTCTCACACTGAATATGGGATGCACCCAGGACTCTCCTCTGCCAAGGAGATCATGATAACAGGCCACTCTAGGAACAGAGTTAAAGAATCCGGCTTTCAGGGCTGGCAGGTGGTGCAGAGGTGAAGGCAACTGGATCCCACATGGCTGATTATGTGGTTCAAGACCCAGACCAGCTACTTAAAACTCACACCAGGCGCATGTGCATGCATGCCCAAAATTCCCAAGAGAAGACTGGAGGAGAAGGGATTGCAGTGTGGCCATCCCACCGAGGGGCGATTTCTCACTTTCTCTCTCTCTCTCTCTGGTGACTGCATGCACCCTATAGCAAACTAAAAAGAAAGAAAAAAACATATCTGACTTTCTGTTGCTCCTCTCTAGCCTGCTCCAGTGGATGGAGGTCAACCACCATGTTGCGAACTAACCCTTCGAGAGGCCCTGATGGTAAGGAACTGAGGGAATCTTCTGGATAATTTTCCTGTGAGCAACCAAATCCCACTAACAGTCATGCGAATGAGTTTCAAAATGGATAGTCTGTGGGTCAAGCTTTGAGATGCCTACATCCCTAGCTGACCCAAGGTTCCAACCTTCTGAGAGCTCTGTGACATATTTAAGTATCAGTTATCGAATAAATATGTAAATTTTGTAATACAACAGTATAATTTGACTACAGAAAAAACTCAGAATTGAAGGTTCGTTCAAATTAGCAAATACCCTATAAAACTCTAACATATAAAATGCCTACCTAAGAAAGGGTAAGGAAATGAAAATAAGGGACCAGCAGGTGGTGTAGTGGTTACGTCGCTAGACTCCCACATAACCTGACCCACTGGATTAAAAATCACATTGGGTGTGAATGCGTGTGTGTCCAAGATCTCAGGAGGAGAAGGGAAGAGAAGGGAGTGGGGCATGGCCATCCCTCTGGTGGGTGATTTCTCACTTTCCTTCTTGTCTTCTCTGTCTCTCTCTCTCTGGGGAGTGCTTGTGCCCTAAGGTAAAACCTCTACAAAAAAATTAAAACTAAAAAAAAAAAATTTAGCCTCAAAGGCAAATAGTTTAAAAAATTAATTAATAAATAATAATTATTATTATTTTAAATTTGACAGAATGAGACAGAGAGAGAAAGGAAAAATGAGAAAGCAAAATGCTAGGTCTGGCACTCGAACCACAGTCTACCATGTGGGAGTCCAGCACCTTAACCACCATGCCACCTGCCAGCCCCTATCAAAGGCAAATTTTTTTCTTTAGAGAGAGTTTTACTATAGAGTATGTGTGCTTGCTGGAGAGACTGAGAGAGACAGAAAGTGAGAAATCACCCCCCATGGGGGTTGGCCACACCACAATCCCTTCTCCTCCATTCTCCTCTCGGGATCTTGGGCACGCACGCACACGCACCCAGTGTGAGTTTTAAGC